TGAAAGAAACAAATACAGAAAGAAAGAACAAAATAAAGAAAGAAAGAGAGAAAGAAAGAAAGATAGTTTAAAGAAAGAAGAACGAAACCAATAAAGAAAGAAATAAATAAAGAAAGAAAGAACGAAAGAAAGATACAAAGAGTCAAAGAAAGAAAGAAAGACAGACAGAAAGAAAGAAAGAGAGTTGAAAGAAAGAAAGAACGAACACAATATAGAACGACAGAAATAACGAACAGACAGAAAGAAAGAACGAAAGAAAGAAAGACAGAAAGAGAGTTGACAGAAAGAAAGGAAGAACGAAAGAAAGCACGAAAGAAAAGAAACAAGAAACGAACGAAGAAAGAAAAAATAAATAATGAAACCAATAAAGAAAGAAAGAAAGAGAGTTGAAAGAAATGAATTCAGAAAGAAAGAAAGAAATAAAGAAAAGAAGAGAGAGAGAGAGTGAAAAAAAGAGTTAACGACAGAGAGTTGAAAGAAAGAAAGAAAGAAAGAAGGAATAAAGAACGCACGACGGAAAGAAAAAAGCATTGAATGAAACCAAGAAAGAAATAAGTAAATAAATAAAGAAAGAACGGAACAATGAAACCAAGAAAGAAAGAAAGAAATAAATAAAACAATAAAGAAAGAAAGAAAGAAATAAAGAAAGATAGTTCAAAGGAAGAAAGAAAGAAACAAGAAAGAAAGGAAGAAAGAAATACAGAACGAAATAAAGAACAAAAGAAGAAAAAAAGAGAGAGTGAAAAGAAAGGAAGGAAAGAAAGAAAGGAAGAAAGAACGATCGAAAGAAAGAAAACATAAAGAATGAAACCAAGAAAGAAAGAGAGAAAGAAAGAAAGAAAGAAAGAAAGAAAGAAAGGAAGGAAGAAAGAAAGAAAGAAATACATAAATAAACAAAGAAAGAAAGAGAGTTGAAAGAAATAAAGAAATAACAAAAAGACAGAAAGGCTTAAATAAATAAAGAACGAAAGAACGGACGAGAGAAAGAAAAAAAGAGAGAGAGAATGAAACCAATAAAGAAAGAACGAGCGAAAGAAAGAACAAATAGATAATGACACCAAGAAAGAAAGAGAGAGAGAGAGAGTTGAAAGAGAGAGCCACTGCAAGTTGGTGCAAATTGTGTGATTCTCCGCCACGTGAGAAGTTCCAGCGCTGTCGTTCCATTCTGTTGTCGAGGTTCTGGAGCTTCGAGTCTTAAGAAAATGACAGGGTCGTAGCGGCTTCATGTCTCAGGCTTCTGCCACTATTGTTGTATATACTGCTGTTGTCAACTGACGGTACCACGCCCTTTGCCAACAGTTCTGCGCCCATGACGCATGCGTTTGAAGATGAGGCACTGCGTGAGCTTTGTTGCTTGGGGGATTCAACAATGGATGGGCACAGGGCTGCGCAGACACAACATAGTTCTTGTTGCGGTCCCCACTTTGTGGGCATCGAAGTGTAGCTTTCGCAGCAGGCGCAGCACCTTCAAGGTGCAGATTTCTTTACAGGTGCAGCACTTTGTCGATGTCAAAGTAATAATTTCATGGCAGGCACATCGCTTGATGTTCTCTTAGCGTGCTCATATGTGCTTTCACAGGTGTTCCCTCCTAAGTGTGCTCACTTGGGTGTGCTCTCACATGTGGTCAGAGATTGCTGCAGAAATCCCTTGAACGATCATGTCTCAGACATCACTGCATCACATTATTTTGTCTTTCTTTCTTTAGACATTTTGCTTCTTTGTCATCACAATGCTAGTAGGCTGAAGGCCATCACTAGTATGGTGGAGGCCATTGCTACCAAGGGTGGAGGCCACCGCTATCAGAAACAAAGGAAAACATTGAAGGACGAAAGGTTTAATCTAATTATAATTAGATCGATCCTTAAAGTAATTAGAATCTAATCTAATTACTTTAATTATTGTTTCTAATAGCTTCTTGTTACTACTAGTAAGGCACTTGTTACTAGTAGCGATGCACTTGTTACTAGTAGCTTATTGTTTCTAATAGCTTCTTGTTATATCCGCAGATATGATACGGTAGCAGGCAGCTCTTCAAGGAACCTTGCAGTTTCCCCAAGCAAGACATGACTCACTGTCATTGACTGATTCGGAAGGGTATTCGATTCGATATATTCCATGTCTGTTTGTAGATCTGTCAAGATCATAAAGGTTTCAATCATTGGCAGGTTGCTTACACTATTAGCTGGTATACATATAAGTAAATCTTTTCGCCGACGCAACATTGGCTGTACCAGGCAGAAGAAAACACCAATGCAATAACCCAAGTGACCGGTGGTTATGCCAGCCCAACATGGACGTTAGTGGACATGAATATGTTGACCAGAAATCGTAGCCTTACCGTTGAATAACGACTCTTAGGTTGGAGGCCATCCCATAGTATAGTCTTTTCTTTGCTCAGGATCCAGCCTACTGCGTCTTCATAGTGGACGCTTTCCAATCCGGAGATTCCGTGCCCTCCCCAGCCTTGGCGGAGGCCGCAGAATGGCTCCTTGGTCACAACAGTGATTTGAACAACGAAGATACGAAGCAAATGGGCTTTGGGAAGCACAAAGCGGAGACCCGAGAGTCAGTCATACAGAATGACCCTGCTTTTTGGCTGCACAGTGCGTGGGAAAGCCTTTACTTTTTAGCATAGAAAGGTGGGGTGGAGCGGGAGGTGAGCTTCGACGGAAAGCCCCCGCACTATTCATTTGGATTCTTTTGGGAAACTTAACTTTAAATCTTTTACTCATGTCTATGTGTTTTTTTTTGCAGTTTGCAAGCCCCAGGACTATGCAAACTGGGTAATCAAAAGGGTGCAAGAAGCAGAAGAGAAGCAAGAAGACGTCTACCTGCCGATGAAGACCTTTGCAAGATATGCGCAAAACTGCTTTGAGAGCCAATGAAGAGAACGCATGTTCGCTAATGCATCACATTACTCACCTTCACAAACCAGTTATGTTCAATCAGGTTTGTTCGGGAACAACATCCGAACAAGCGCTAGAGTAATTAGTTATAAATGGTATGCCCAGCTGTTTTGACAGCTGATCAAGCGAAGTGTCTTCTGTAAAATCAGCGGAGCAAGTCGTTTTGCGAGTTTTGAGTTTCATGATGTTTCATTTATGTTCAGACAATGTGCAGTTGCAGACATCTCAAACAGGAGGCAATTTGCCATGAATCTTTATCATGATCGTGCTGGCAGCGTCCGTGTCACTCTAGCAACACCAACCCCGAGGGGTCTTGCATTGGCTCTGAGCAATGGGCAATGGGAATTGAATAGTTTCAGAGCCCATTGGTCTGGCAGGAGCCTTGGATATTCGGGTCGGAGGCCATCGCTAGTAGGGTGGAGGCCGGAAGAAAGGTGGCAGCATGACTTGCAGTGACGCATATGCCCTTGTGTGCCCCATCACCATTTGCCCCTTCGTTTTGTAACACTGGATGGGTCTTCTTGGCGTTTTTCTGCGCCTATTGTATCACTTTTAGCATACTTGTTTCCGCTGGTGACAATGGGACGTGTCTCGTGTTTCCCCATTGCTTGGCGGTAGTTGGGTGGATCAAGATGGAGACTTAAAGAAGGCGTTTTGGCGAACGCATCTTTTTCTTTTTAAATCATGCTTAGGCGCAAAGCTTCTTGAAGTCTGTGACTCAGTCCGTGCTTTCCGTGACCTTGTTTCCTTGTTTGATGTTTTTTGCGACGTTGAGACAGTTTCGGAAGATGGAAGCTCATTTCATGAGTTCAGCTGAGAGGGCTCGAAGATAGCCGCACCGAATGCGCCGCAGAACGACAAACAACCACAACGAAGCACATGACAAAGACGACCGAAAAGAAAGACAATTTCTTTTAAAGCATAATTTGAATTTATTTTATCTTAATTTAATTCTAATAGTTTCTTGTTACTACTAGTAAGGCACCTGTTACTACTAGCGTGGCACTTGTTACTAGTAGAAACAATATATTTTCACATGCAAAGACGTGAGTCCGATTTCGTGCCATGGAGAAGCCTAAAAATTGGAACGAGCTCTTGCATGAGGCCACATACGTGATTGCACCTTTCCAGCGGGCTTATAGATGGAAGACGGAGATGGCACTACGCCTGTGGCTTGACTGCTATGACCATTTTGCCACCAATTCATGTGCAGAAGTAGATGATGGGTACCACCTTGGGTCCATCATAACCTACAAAGACAACGCTGATGAGTTTGTCCGCTATGTGGTGGACGGACAGCAGCGGTTGGTGACGCTTTGGATCTTTTTCAGAGCCATGTTCTTTTGGTGCAGTCACCATGAAGAAGATCACGAAAGAACATGTTCGAACGTGGTGGACATTGCAAATGGAGAGCTGGCCTTCCCCAGAAAAGGGCGCTCTAGAACTCGGCGTTTGAAGTTTGCCGCGAGGAGTACAGTAGATGGCTTTTTCGAGAGGTTCTTTGCAAAGAAAATCGGGTATGAGACTGATTGGGATGAGCTCAAGGAGCTTATTTGCCATGACCCACCTAATGATCAAGAGAAGAAGTTTGTGAATGTCTTCAGGGCAGCTCTCTTCTTTATGTGCAACCATTTTGGCCTCCCAGATGACCGGGGCATGGTCCAGTCCGGCAACTTGGATTCCAAAGACTACCAAACATGGATACTCACCCACTATCGGGAACTCTATTTGGACAAGACGGAGAGGTGCAAGAAATTTGGATGTGCAAACAAAATCCAAGCATTCGCAAAATTCATGGTAGCCAACTTGCATGTGGCCCTCATCTCGGTTGAGTCCAAAACGAAAGCTATGCAGATGTACCGATCCATCAACAACCAAAGAGATCACGCTGAAACCGCTACTGAGATGGAGATTTTGAAAGCCATGCTTCAAGCTCCAACAAATGAGCACCAGACAGACAAGTACTCCCAATGGGAGAACTGTGCATCAGAGTTTCGAGGGACAACAAGAGACGAGCTTGATCTCTTTGCATACTACATGCATGTGATTGTCGAGCTGACACCGCGCCCCAGTGGAAAGTTGGAAAAAAACAGCGTGGAGGATTTCACCAAGTCTCCCACGCAAGACAATTTTGAGGACGAGCCCTACCAATGCACACTGATAGAGCACATAAAGCGACGCTTTATTGTTGAAGATGAACAAGACAGAGTCCGTCGCAAGCTGTTTGATGTGAAGAATCCAACCAAGCTGGATGAGAACGCCGTGGATCTGTTCTTCAGCAAATGGATGAACACTGACTCAGTGGTGTGCTTCTTAGGTTTCCTGAGGGTGGATGATCACAGGTGGGCGCAAGGACATTACTTGGGCCAGACAAGCAGCAAGCGCATTCAAAATACAGTGACCTTGCTCAAACATGTTGCGCACACGGGCTTGGATATGGATTGGGTAGCTCCTGCATTCTTTTTTGCGGTCAAGTTTCGCTGCATGCAAAGCAGTGACCACTTGAATGCTGCGGCAGAGTTTTTTGACTTGCTTGAGAAGGGCTTTGTAGCCTACAATGCCTTCTGCAAGCGTGGGAATGGAAAGGCCATGTTTGGGCGCCCAGGCCATTCCAAGACTGATGCGGAACAAGTGTTTTGCCGCTACATGAAGCACTACCGAGAGCTCATCGGCGTCATCTACAAAGAGGACAATCCCACAAGCATCCTTGAATGGATGCGGAAGAAGTTTGTAGACTGCCGCCACAGCCTACAAGAGGGTGTAGTCGATTGCTTCAGCCAGACTGTGAAATTCAGCACTGAGAGCGCCAAAGCTTTCTACAAGGTGCGGGCCACGTATTTGTTGCTCAAGGCAGAGTGTGTGACCACGCCAGATGAATCCGAGCTCTACACAAAGCTGTCTGGCTGGTTGCCATCAAACCTTCGTGGTGGGTGCCCTCGTGGGTTTGCTTGCGTTGATCGAACGCATGGGCCCATCGCTTTGGAGCATATACACCCAGAATCTAATCTGGGTGACCAGGATGCTTGGGCCGCAGATGACCACAAAAACATGGTAGACAATCTTGGCAACTACTGTTTGCTTGTGCCAGAAGAGAGGAATGCTTTTACCGGCTCCACATTTTTACAGAAAAAAAGAATGCTTGAAAGATCTGGCTTTGGTTTGTCCAAGCGGATTGCCGCTCGGGACGGGCAGACTCGGGATGAGTGGAGCACAAAGGATGTCAAGCAAAGACGAAAAGAGTTGCTTAGGCACGCAGTTTGTGGTTGGGTGGGGGCCGTTGAGGCGGCAACTATTGACGATGAGGCCGAGGTTGACCTTGACGGAGTAAGAACCCCGTATCCTGTTGCAGAGGTGGCGCAGGAAGAAGCTGCTGCTGAGGTACCTGTGGCGGATGCCCAGAACAAGACCAGCCTATGTTCGCATCTCTACCAAGAGGACAACATGCCCAGAGATGTAGAGGATGCCAAAAGGAAACAGTGGCGCTGTGGTGAGCTGCTCAACAGAAACTGCTTCAGTGCTCATACTTACAAAGAGTGGCGATGTGACTTTGAGAGAGTGAAGCAATGTGAAGATACATGTGATGGATCGAAGTGGAACTGCCCCAAGTTTGCAGCCGAGAGGCAGCGCATTTTGGATTCATATCCCAACATCATTGCTGAGCAGGATAGCAACAGCGACCTCCCAGAAATGCCACAACCTGCATCCCATTCCGTGCCAAATCCTCCAGCCGCTGTGCCTTCGCCACGGGTGCGGACGGTAGGCATCGTACATTCCTCAAGACGAAGTGGAAGAGGGTATACTGGCAAGATTGAATGTACGCATGAAGGATCGAGGATAAATCCAATGCCAACGTTTGATGACGAAAGGCAGGATCTGAAGACCAACCAGTGTGTCACCTTTGACTTGGATCTGACAGATCCAGGCAGGCCAAGAGCCAGAAACATCCAGCTGGACACCCGTTCAGATTTGCAACGGTGGATGCGCAACTACAGGCGCATGCTTGATGACAGAGCATGGAGCAGACTACAAAAAACAGACACAGAGGCACAACAATATGTTAGACGAAGGGTTGAAGCATACAGGTCCAAGATTGACAACTTTTCCCGCTTTTTCGAGTATTTACTAAATGAGTTTGAGCATCAACGCCGGCCGCGGGCTCCGTTAATATTGAGATCCCGATCCCGCAGAAGAGGTCGCAGCAGGGACTGGAGCTACAGGGGCCGAAGGAAGAGACGATGACGGCTGCGAGGCCTTGGAGTGAAAAGGTCGAACTTTGGAGCGACTAGGACGCTACTAGGAGCAAAGGGCATCGCTACTAGGAGCAAAGGACGCTACTAGGGGCTCCTGGCCTTACTACTAGGAGCAAGAAGCTACTAGGGGCTCCTGGCCTCGCTACTAGGAGCAAGAAACTAGGTTGGAGACCATTTCTCCTTCGGCAAAGCACAGCATCGCAACGATCCAAAGGCTTCACTCGTTTGCCCGAGGTTCCTGACGCAGAGGTGTTGGGCTACATCGCCTGAGTCACGTAGTCTCAGTGTCATTGCTACTAGTAGCAGTAGCGATGCCCTTTGCTCCTAGTAGCGTCCTTGTTCCTAGCAGCGATGCCTATGTTCTTCCAGGGCAAGACACACCAAAGTCAAAGCACATCAAGTTTTGATGTTTGGAAAACGGCGCTAGTACCGTACGCTGCAAAGTAAACATGTCTTCTATTTTTTTCCAAAGAGACAGCAAGCGTGATTTGTGGTTGCACCTTTCTCCCTCCTGCGATATGCCAACGGCGTAGCCTGTGACTCGCCGTGCACTTGATTGTTAATTGGGTTGGTTTTCCAGGCTTCCTCAACAACATCCCCACAGAAATCAGCCCCCATTGGTGGGTCCTCCTGAAAAGAAGTAGTGAGATTCTGTTTCTTTGTCGCGTCACTGAGCCAAGCCGTTAGTGACTCTAAACATTCATATTCAGGTTGGGCTAAATGGAACGGTCCGAAAGCGCTTTGCAAAACACATCAAACATCACTAGGTTGCTTTATCTCGGATGGCTTTCAGTTCAAAAGTTTCAGTGTGGCTGCCTTTCACAGCCACGCATTCAGTAAAAATGCCGAGAAGTCCGTAGCTCTTCGCAGTGGCAGCCGGGTCCGGGTGAGGCTCACCAAAGGGTCAACTGCTTGCCTTTGTTTTTGCCCGCAAGAGGGGATAGGATTTATGGGGCTTATGCCCAACGGGGCAGGGGGTTCAGTGGCAGGCGGCAGGGGCAAAGAGGTGAGACTTGCGGTTGTTCATTGGTAGCGATGCCCTTTGTTACTAGTAGCGTCCTTGTTTCTAGTAGTAAGGCCAGGAGCCCCTAGTAGAGTCCCTAGTAGCGTCCTTGTTTCTAGTGGTGAGGCCAGGAGCCCCTAGT